CTGTCCGAGCTGCGGAGCTGCGCCCTGGTGTGCAAGCACTGGTACCGCTGCCTCCACGGCGACGAGAACAGCGAGGTGTGGCGGAGCCTGTGCGCCCGCAGCCTGGCAGAAGAGGCTCTGCGCACGGACATCCTCTGCAACCTGCCCAGCTACAAGGCCAAGGTGAGGGAATCTCGGGCCACGCCGAAGCCCGGCTCCTAGCCTGCCCGCCGCTCTCGGGGTTTACCTTCTAAGCTTGTGAGTCAGATGTTTCACCTCATCCCGCCTTTCCGCGGCTCCAGCCAGTCAGTACCTTTCTCACCCCTCCTCTCCGTAAAGATCTCTTCTTTGAAGTTCTGCTTCGTAACCCACCCCGCTTTTTAAATTATTAGGTGGTGATTTCCCATCACTGATTTTCATCATTCGTTCTACTTTCGACAATCTTTGCTCTTACAGACAGACCACCCGCCATTACCCTTGATTTTATGTTTTCCCTGGCCCCCAAGTAGACTTAACGACTTTTAGTTCTTCTTAGTCGCTTTAAAATGGGTTCAGTTACTGGGATCTTTGCGTTCACCTCACGTTTTCCAATCTCTGAATAATAAGCACATTTTCATTATTTTCGCCCACGTTCTCATACGTCCACAATATTTAATGCTTCCAAGTGAGTTTGCTAATTTGCAAGAAAAAGACTTTAATAGAACATCTTCCCATTGGTGCGGTATAACTCATAAAGCTGCCTTGTGCTGCTGTTAGTGATCACTTCCTTGATGTCTTTTTCATAGTTCTATCCAGCTGATGTCTCTTCTGTCGAATTTATCATCTAATATGTTGATACCTGTTTTGCTGGGTATTGTTTTGGGTATTTTTTTTTCCCGATTACTGTGTCTTCATAACAAAATTAGAATGCTAAGTAACAGGTTGTGGCAGGCTCAAGGATGATCCAGCCCAGACAAAGGGCCTTGGGTTAAGGTTCATTTAGATGGATGGTAGCTCCTTAGAATAGCAGTTACCAAGAGCAAATACGAAGCTGGGTGTGTGCTGCATACCTTTAATCCCAGCACTCCAGAGGCAAAAGCAGGTGCATCTCTGTGAGTTTGAGGCTAGCCTGGTCTGCATATAGAGTAGGAGCATATATGAGAGATAATAAAGTCTCATCTGGAATATGGTAAACATATTCCTTTTTATATTGCTAGTGAGTGTCAAAGTAATTTTTCGTGTGAAATAGACGCACTATTTCTTTTGATATGCATGTATTATAAATATGTATATGTCTCTCCTTTTGGAGACAGGGTCTCTCACTATGTAGTTCAGAGTGGTCTCCAGCTTGCCACCTTTCTGAGTGCTGGGGTTATAGTATGGGCCTCTGCTACTGGTTTATTCTTCTATATTAAACAAGTTTAGGCGTGGTAAGAGAGGGAACACTGCTGTTGAAGATGTCAATTACCAGGTAGATAGTCTTTTTTTCCTGAGACAGTATCTCATTAGCAGCTCAGGTTGGCCTAGAACTTAACAGAAACCCACCTGACTCTGCCTTCCAATTCCTGAGATGAAAGTGTGACCACTCTTGGCAAAATATTTTTTGTGTGTACAAGTATGTACTCACTCAAAAATGGGGGTATGCTCTCACGAATATGTGAATACTGGTACTCACAGAGTCCAGGATAGAGTGTCATTCCCTGAAGCTGAAGTTACACACACACACACACACACACACACACACACACACACACACACACACACACACACACACACAGGGAACTGAACTTTTTGGTACTGTGAAAGTTCAGGGAGTTTTTTTGTTTTTGTTTTGTTGTTCTGTTTTTGTTTTTGTTTTTCAAGACAGGGTTTCTCTGGGTAATAGCCCTGGCTGTCCTGGAGCTTTGTAGACCCAGCCCTGGCTGTCCTGGAGCTTTGTAGACCCAGCTAGACTCAAACTCACAGAGATCAGTCTGCCTCTGCCTCCTGAGTCCTGGGATTAAAGGTGTGTACCACTACCACCTGGCTACAGAGCATTCGTAAATCCTTGTTTTTCTAGTTAAGTAAAAGAACATCATTTGCCAGGATTGTATTTGTGTATCATAGATAGTCAGTGGATACTAATTGTATAGCAATTTATAGGAGAGTGCAAAAGTCTTCAATATTGTCCTACTTTGCTTTATATTCAGTGTTCTTAACTTTAAAATTAAAATTTTTGGCCTCTGTGGGTCTCTGTGAGTTCAAGGCAAGCCAAAGCTACATAGTAAGACCCTATCTCAAAAAAAATTTAAAAATTTCCCTTAAGATTTATTATTTTTGTCTAGCTTCAGGTTTCTAAGCCTGATATGGTGGTGTACTGGGAGGCTGAAGCAGGAGGATCAAAATGAATTTGAAAGCAGCTTGGTGAGATCTAGGCTAGCCTGAACTACAAAGTGAAATCTTGTTTCAAAAAACAAAACAAAATAAATTAATACATTTTTGTATTTACTTGTGATAGTAACGTTTATATGAGTCAAGATTTAGATAAAAGGACTGGCAAACAACTTTGTAGGTAAATTGCTTGCTGGGCAAACACAAGTCCCTGAGTTCAGATTCCCAGGCTGGCTGTAAAAGCCAGGCTGGCATGCATCTGCAGCCCAGCATTTGGGGCCGTAGACAAGTGGATCTTTGGCTGTCGCTGACTAGCTGGATTAGCCAAAATTGCAAGCTTCAGGGTTAGTGAGAGACTTTGTCTCAAAAAATAAGGTGGTAAGCAAAAGAGAAAGCCATCCACTGTTCACATCTGGCTTATGCACACACTCATACACCCCACACATAAACAAAAAGTTCACATAGCATGCAAAAGATAATGTATCCATATGAGCTGAGCATCAGTAGAAGTAACTAGCATATCTTCCTTTGGCTGCTGTCCCATTGTTACCCAGTTCTTATCCTTAGAAGCAACCTAAATTGCTATTAGTTTTGTAACTTTCCAGAGAGGGTGTGTGTGTGGCTTTGTTTGTTTGTTTCTAACTTTCTGCTGTGTATACTGTAGCTACAAGGTGGACTTGTACTTATCCTGGGTTTTAGGTGAATATTTTGAAGATGGAAGGTTAATTTAGGAGGGTGAATTCAGAGAGTCTAGAAGTCCTTAGAGTAGTCCAGGATAGAAATGGATAGAAATGATTGTAACGTGTGGCACACACTGCTTCTTAGTGTAGTATTGGAATACTGGAAGTTCACTGGAACAGAAAACTTAGGAGTTGAGTGGAGAATTAGAAATGCTTGACTTTATGATGATGCTAAGGTGAACTTTAAGATGAGGTGGATTTGAAAATTTTATGAAGAACTCTGAGCAAAGTTTTACCATGACTTTGCTTTATGGGGATGACAGACTATGGAAGGTGTGCACATATTCATGTGTGTGTGCCTGCCTGTGTTTCTCTTTTTCAGTACTGGGGATTGAATACATGCTAGCTATATCCCTTGCCTTGGGGAACAGATGTTAATCTGATAATTGCAGTTGTAAAACTGCATCTGTTAAGTATTATGAATGAGAGTTACATGGTGTTCTGAATATCAGTAGTGGGGGATTTAATTATGTACAGAGGTCAGGAAGGCTTTTTTATAAGACATGATGCATAAGCTTAGTGAAACCTAAAGAATAAGGATAAACAGGCCAAGAAGAACAAAGAAGAGTCTTCTAGGAGGGAATCTGGCTGTATGAGAAATAAAAAAGAATGTTAGCGGTTGCCCTTAGCTCAGGTGATGCTGGATTGAATGAGATAAAAGGGCGTGGGACAAACTATAGAGAAGCCATTTCTTGTTGTAAGCTAGAAAAATGAACGTGGGGATTGGTTATTTAATAGTTTGTGTTTTAAAGAGGTTATTTTTGACTTCACTGTAGAGGACTTTAGGTAGTGAAGGAGATGGAGAGGAATGGACACACTTACGAAATAGAATCTACAGAATCTGATGACTGTTCCTCCTGCTGCCTTTAGGTATGGCACTAGGATTTTAGGTCATCACACATTAAAATTGATTTCTTTTCACTCAGAGAATATTAAGATATTGGGATTATCTATGTGTTCTCTGAAATTTGCGGGATCAAACAATTTTTTTTTAAAGAATCTACAGAATTTGGCAGTAGTTTTGAAATAGAAATGAGGAAGAAGGAGGAGCTAAGAGTGACTCCTAGTTATTTGGCTTACCTAATATACGTGTCTATTGAGCTAGAGTTTAGAGAAATGACAGCAAGTTCATTTGAGGAAGAGCAGAATTCATAGTGTTTTGAGATACTCAACAGACTTCAGACAGGCAGCTCTTGGTAGCCAAGGATCAGAAGAATGTTCTAGGCTAAAGATAGAAAGTAATTTTTAGTTGAATGAAGGGAAATATGATTGTAAAGGTAACCTGAAACTAGATATATCGTAGAAGGCCTTTTGAAATATAGTTTTGATACATTGTTTGGGCTTTATTCTGCAATTGGAAAAATCATACATGTTTGAACAAAAGAGTAATAAAGTAAAAGCTATGCTTTAATAAGACCAGGCCATGAGATGTAGGGCGCACATAGAGGAGAGAAGGACAGGATTGGGAAAGCTGTCACAGAACAGCTCCACACAGGTGACAGCTGATATGGTGGGTGAGATTAGGGAGGGTGGATCAAATAGAACTCCCAAGGAGTCTGGGCAATGGAAGGACTAGGGTGAGGATAGGAAGGACTCAGAAGTGTGTAGTTGGTTCATCTTTTTCTCCCTCCTTCCCTTGCTCTACCTTTCATCTTCCCTTCCATGCTCTGGCTCAAACCCAGGACCTGATGAATGTTCAACACTCTACCACTGAGCTACACCTTCATTTCCAGAATTGTTCTTTTTTATAACTCATGTTTTAGGTATCTCAAAGTAGCATTGGTTATCCCAAATAATTTGTATCTAACTATACTTCTCTAAATTTCAGACTTGTATCCTGAGCTAGGTCTTTATTTTTGTTTCTTTTTTTCAAAATAGAATTAGAGACAGTTTGTTGAGAAATGCTGAGTACACTGGAGAATGAGGATGGGCTGTGAGCTGAGGGGAAACTACTCTAAAACCCAAAGCTAAGTCTGTACTAATGCTGTTGAAATAGGAAATGTAGGCTGTTCAAAAACTGATACAGAAACTTGACTTTAGTTTTGTTTTTCTTTTTTTTTAAAGATTTTATTTATTTATTATGTATATAACATTCTGCTTCCATGTGTATCTGCACACCAGAAGAGGGCACCAGATCTCATAACGGATGGTTGTGAGCCACTATGTGGTTGCTGGGAATTGAACTTAGGACCCTTGGAAGAGCAGTCAGTGCTCTTAACCTCTGAGCCATCTCTCCAGCCCTAGTTTTGTTTTTCAAGACAGTATTTGTTTCTCTGTGTAGCCCTGGCTGTCCTGGAACTGGCTCTGTAGACCAGGCTGGCCTCAACTCTAAGACCTGCCTGCCTCTGCCTCCCAAGTACTGGGATTAAAGGCGTATCTGGCCTTAAACTTTATTAATTGGGTGTTTTTCCATTTTATTTGAATTTTTCAGTATTCTAAAAACAAAGACACATAATATGACTATGATACCACTGTCATCTCTAAAAAGAAACTGACAGTAATTTCTTAATACAAAATTGCAGTGTTGCCTCATAAATGTGAAATATTATAGTTTACTTAATCAGTATCTGCATACATTCTCATGACGAGGAGTTGCTAAGTCTTACTGGGCTATCTTAGTTTGCAGATTGATTCCATCCCCACCTCCTGCCCCTGCAATTTTTTTGTTACATCCTGGGTTTCTGGTTTCATTCCCATGGTGTTGCTTAATGTGCTCTTCTGTTTTCCCTTTTCTTGCAGGCTCTGCATACAGTGTAGAGCACTGATCAATGTAGATTATAGTAGGTTTTTTTCTTTTTTTTCCAAAATACTGTTTACTAGAATCATGTGCTTAGAGGTGCATTAGATAACAGGATCCTTGTGTCTAAGTGTTGTGAGGTATAGACAATAGTGAGTGGGAACTCAGGAGAAGAGACTGATGGGAATTGGGTGGCCCTGGCTAGGAATACTTCATGGAGGTGGTGGTGGAGCCCGGTGGGAGGAGGGCAGTGGGGAGGCACGAGGAGCCCGGCGAGGCAGGTGGCATAGGAGGTGCACCGGCCTGCTCTGGAAGGCGTGGAAGCCAGGAAGAACTGAGTTGATGTGGTGCCATGTGTGGAGCTGTCAGAGGCTGTAGCTGACCTGAGAGTCCGTGAAGATGCTGGTTTAGAAAGACAGTTCTGGAAAGAGCTTAAGGTTAAGGACTGAGTTTGTAGGCTTCTGTGGGCAGAGGAAGGGAGTCACTACAAATGAATGCAGTAGAACACTTCAGCAAAACGGGAAGCTGTGATAGGAGGTTGAAGAAGAGGCTGTCAACTTCACTGTGACAGGGGAAAATTAAAGAAACAGCAGCTAGAATTCGCAAGAATTGTGTAATAGGCTGTGAGGAAATACTCACTTTTTAAAAATTCTAGCACCGTGGAGATTACATTTTATTTCTTCCTCATTTGTCTTCTTACCAAGCTAGTCCTTACATACAATAAACCAGGCTATCCTATGTGACTAGAAGACTTTTTTGTTGTTGTTGTTTTTGTTTTTTGTTTTTCGAGTCAGGGTTTCTCTGTGGCTTTGGAGGCTGTCCTAGAACTAGCTCCTGTAGTCGGACTGACAGAGATCCGCCTGCCTCTGCCTCTGTCTCTTGAGTGCTGGGATTAAAGGTGTGCGCCACCACTGCCTGGAGGAAATATTAATTTAACAGTATCATGAGGAATTAATTTTCTATGTTACTCTTTTGATTTAGAAAATACTTGCTTATGGATATTTTTCTCCTTTGTTTACCCTTATGTTGTGATTCTTTAGGTGGATAAAAGCATATATTGAAGGGCTAGGTAGCTCAGCATAAGAGCGCGTACTGCATCCTTGTTAGATGGCTAACAACTAACTCCTTCATGGAATCTGGTTCCCTCGTCTGGCCTCCATAGGCACTGATCTCATATGTATGCAAACACGCGAACGCGCACACACACACCACACACACACACCACACCATGCTTCATTTGTTCATTTTCCTTATGAAAACAGAATATTTTATGAAACAAGCTATTACTCTGTGCTGTGCAGGGCAGCAGTGAAACAGTAAAATGCTGGCTGTTGGAAAATGAGCTTTTGACCCTGGCTCTTTTCTGGGTTCATGCACTCAGTAGCTGTCCTTTAGGTCTGTAGCCTCATTTTATTTTATTTTATTTTATTTTATTTTATTTTATTTTTTTTTGTGACTGAGTGCTTTGCCTGCATGTGTGTCATTGTATCACATGCATTCACTGCCCCCAGAGACCAGAAGGATGTGTTGACTTCTCTGGAACTAGAGCAGTGTGGGTGCTAGGGAATTGATCTGAGATCTTTTGCAAGAGCTGCTGAGTGATGTCTCCAGCTACAAAGATGGGATTTTTAAAGTAAAATAGAAACAAAAATATTTGTATGTGTATCTATATATGTATGTGTATTTATATATTCGTTTTCCAGATAGGGTTTCTCTCTCTGAAGCCTTGGTTGTTCTGGAACTTGCTCTGTAGACCTGGATGGCCTAGAACTCAGAGATCTGTCTGCCTCTGACATCCAAGTGCAGAGATTAAAGGGGTGCACCACCACTCCTAGCTCCAAGGGTTTGTTTTTTTATGTTTTGTTTTGTTGTTGTTGGTTTTTGGGTTTATGTTGTTGTTGTTTTTTTGTTTTTTGTGACAGGGTTTCTCTGTGTAACAGCCCTAGCTGTCCTGGAACTCACTTTATATCAGGCTGACCTTGAACTCACAGAGATCCACCTGCCTCTGCCTCTGCCACCACACTTAGCAAGTTTTATATTTTTAAAACATGAGATTGTCATTATTTGTACAAAGGAGCTATTTTTATATTGTTTTCATGGCAGGAGCTTTAAAACCTTGTGAAAGGCCCCCTAGCATGTCCCATTGGTAGCTGCTGTTCTTCCAAAAACCTGGTTGAATTTGTTTTGTGTGCTACCTAGGAGATGTGCATTGAGAGTGGTGATGTCAGTGTGGGAGTGATAGCCTAACAAGGAAATTGAGAATCTCCCTCCCTCCCTCCCTCCCTCCCTCCTTACATATGCTGGGTCAGCACTCTACCAATGAACTCGTAGCCTAGGTAGGCCTCTACCTTACTACCTAGCTATGGGTGACCTTGAACTTCGGATCTTCCCAAGCAGTGATCACAGCATGTGCCAAGCTAGACTGTAATTTTTTTGATCACTGTATTGACAGTGTGGAAACTGCATCACTTAATCAAGTATAAATAAAAGTAAAGGACGTAGTTTGCAGAATTTCCATATGCCATCTACACCAAGCTTTACCAATGACTCATGACATCTAGTTTCATGTTTACTCTACTCTGCCTCTGGCTGTTTCAAAGCAATTACCATGTATCATTTTATGCATAAACATTTCAGTAATATATCTGAAAAAGTACAAGGATAGTAGTTGTGTGTATGTTTTGACGTTTTAATTTACTTGTAGAAATTATACTACAGTTTGGAATTTCAGTAAGACAGTTGAATTGCTCCCCCCCCTTTTTTTAAGATTTATTTATTTATTATGTATACAGTGTTCTGTCTTCATGTACACCTGCAGGCCAGAAGGCACTAGATCTCATTACAGATGGTTGTGAGCCACCATGTGGTTGCTGGGAATTGAACTCAGGACTTCTGGAAGAGCAGTCAGTGCTCTTAACCTCTGAGCCATCTCTCCAGCCCTACTCCCTCCCTTTCTTTAGATAGGGTTTCTCTGTTTACTGTGTTCATCTTAAACTGGTTCAAGCCATCTAGAGTATCTAGGATTGCAGGCATGTGTTACCATGTCTAGCTCTAGCTGGGAGTTATTTTTAATGGGATACAATAGTTAATGTTTGTTCACCATCCAGAAGCTTTATGTATTATTTGGAAATAAGTGTTATTTAAAAGTTTATAATCTTATTATCTATAAACACAAAACCTCAGGGTTTTTTGTTTTTTAGTTTGGGGGCAGGAGAGAGAGAGATGGGCTTTTGCCAAGTGGCCCAGACAGGCCTTGAACTTTCAATTCTGCTTCAGCATCCCAGAGGGCTGACATCACAGATATGAGCTACCACATTTAGTTTGCTACATTTTAATATTTAAGAAAAAAAAATCAGAGGTTGGAGAGATGGCTCAGTGGTTCAGAGCACTGACTGCTCTCCCAGAAGACCCAGTTTCAATTCCCAGCACCCATATGGCAGCTCACAACTGTCTCTGACTCCAGTTCAGGGCATCTGACACCCTCACACCAATGTAAATGAAATTAAAAAAAAAAAAAAAAAGGACCAAAGAGGGGGGAAGAAAATTAAAAAAGAAAAAAATCAAGTTTATTCTTTTGGTCTATTTCTCATGTTTTTAGGTACGAGCTTTCCAACATGCCTTCAGCACAAATGACTGCTCCAGGAATGTCTATATCAAGAAGAATGGCTTTACTTTGCATCGGAACCCCATCGCTCAGAGCACCGATGGTGCAAGGACCAAGATTGGTTTCAGTGAGGGCCGCCACGCCTGGGAAGTATGGTGGGAGGGCCCTTTGGGCACTGTGGCAGTGATAGGAATTGCTACGAAACGGGCTCCTATGCAGTGCCAAGGTTATGTGGCATTGCTGGGGAGTGACGACCAGAGCTGGGGCTGGAATCTGGTGGACAATAATCTACTACATAATGGGGAAGTCAATGGCAGTTTTCCACAGTGCAACAATGCACCAAAATATCAGGTGAGAAATGATATTTTCTCATTGTGGGCCATTTCAAATCACATCTGAATTTGTTTAAAATATATTATAAAGCCACTGTAGGTGTTTGTCTTTGTTTTGGTAATCTTTTTAACTTTGTACTTTTTTTGTAATTTTTAAAATAAATGGTAGGTTATATGTCAGTATTTCTTAATACATATTTGAGCAATCCACACTTCCTCTGTCTGGGGCCAAAGAGTAACTATTTTAGGCTTTGTTGTCCATGCTATCTCAGAACCACTTTTTTTCTTTTTTCTTTTTTGGTTTTTCGAGACAGGGTTTCTCTGTGTAGCTTTGGAGCCTATCCTGGTACTTGATCTGGAGACCAGGCTGGCCTCGAACTCGACCCGCCTGCCTCTGCTTCCCGTTCTGGGATTAAAGGCCTGGGCTACCAACGCCCAGCTAGAACCACTTTGAGCTCTGCGGTGTCATCACATCACCTATACGTAATGTGAATAAAGAAGCATGGCTGTCTTCAAAAGACCTCATTTGTGAGCTGCATGACCAGTGTGGCTCAGGAGCTACAGTGTGCTGGATCATGTTCAAGATTGTCATCTTCCCTGTGTCATGAAACATCCAGGTCTTTTGCTTGCTTGTTCTGTTTTTTTCCCTCTTTTCTGGTCACCTTGTCACAACAAATGCATGTGTATACATGCATATTTACCCTCTGCTTCTTACTAATACATGGATTCAAAGTCCTTGGAGGTATTGACAAGTTCAGGCAAACTGCTACATTTTTTTGTTTGTTTTTCTTATCTTAAATTTGTTTTTAAACTTTATTTTATGGGTTTGGGTGTTTTGTCTACATGTATGTCTGTGTACCACATGTGTGCCTGCTGCCCCTGGAAGCCAGAAGAGGCTGTCACATCCCCTGGAAGTTACAGATATTGTGAGCCACGATGTGAGTGCTGGGAATTGAGCCTGGATCCTCTAGAAGAGCAGGCAGTGTTTTTAACTGCCGAGACACCTCTCTACCCCATATACTTCCATCTTAATGTTTTGTGCTCATTTGATTCTAGAATTGAAATTACAACCCTTGTGTCTTAAAGCAAATTGGTATAGATTTAGCAGAGGATAAAACAATTCAATAAGATTCCAAGAAGTGGGCTGGAGAGTTGGTTCAGTGGTTAAGAGCATTTTCTGCTTTTCCAGAGTTCAGTTCCCATCACCCACCTTGAGCAGCTCACAACTGCTTGTGATTCCAATTCCAGGGGCTTCAACTCCCTTAACTGACCTCTGTGGGCACCTACAAACATTTGCGCACACACATAAACACACATTTTTGTTTTGTTTTTCAAGACAGGGTTTCGATGTGAAACAGTCCTGGGTGCCCTGGAACTCACTCTGTAGACCAGGCTGGCCTCAAACTTACAGAGATCTACCTGACTCTGCCTTCTGAGTGCTGGGATTAAATGTGTGCACCATCACTATAAACACAATTATTATTTTTGTTATTTTGTTTTGAAGAAAAGTAAGTCAATTACTAGGAGAGCTATTAGTTGATCACTCATCCATTGACAACTCACATCATTTATTCAGTGCTATATTAAAACACATTTGTTTATTATTGTTTTTTGAGACAGGGTTTCTTTGTATAACAGTTTTGGCTGTCCTTGAACTCACTTTGTAGACCAGACTGGCCTTGAACTCACAGAAATCCATCTGCCTCTGCCTCCTACGTGCGGGGATTAAAGGCATAAACCACCACTGCCCAGCTAAAACACACAATTTTTTAAAATATCTTTTTTAAAAAAAATTCCCAAGGCAGAAGTCTTGAGAGACTGTACATTTCATATTTCAGAGCCACAGCTTCGGTAATGCTTACAGGGGCTTGCAAGATGCCTCAGAGGTTAAGAGCACTAGCTGCTCTTTCAGAGGACCCATGTCCAATTCCCAGCATCCATGGCAGCTCACAACTCCAGTTCCCAGGAATCTGATGCCCTCTTCTGGTTTCCACAGGCACTGTCATGCAAGTGATGCCCAGACACATTCAGGCAAAAGACCGATACACATAAAAAATATGATCATAAAATTATCAGCTCTGGCATATTAATTTAAAAGGTAAAATGTATATCCATTTCTTGAAGTGCAAAACCTGGAAGGATTTTCCTTCATAAAATCATTTCCTCATTGTCTCTTTAGGCTCTGTATATGTCTTGTGGAGAGGCGTGTGCAGTTTTAGCACTGAACATGAAGTCTTATCACTACCTTCAGGGGTAGTGAAAACCCTCATGTCCTTGGTTTCAGAGATCATTCTGTGTCTCCTTCCTTCCTCCCTTTTTTGGTTTTTGTTGTTTTTTGTTTTTGAGACAGGATTTCTCTGTGTAGCCCTGACTGTCCTGGAACTTGCTCTTTAGACCAGGCTAGCCTTGAACTCAGAGATCCACCCGCCTCTGCCTCCTGAGTGCTAGGATTAAAGGTGTGTGCACTACCACTGCCCATCTTATTTCCATTTTTTGAAATATATTTCTACTAGTTTAGCCAGTTCTTAGATGGATTGATAGGATTTAAATTGTCTATATTGTTACTGATTTTACTTGTTCTTTCACTGAAAAAAGAATTGAAGTCTTCAACTGTGCTTTCTAGTTTGTCTGTTTTTCTTTTGGGTCTGTCAGTTTTTGCTTCATATACTTAAGGGCTGTAATTATTACATTTCCCTGTTTATCATTACAAATGACTTTTGACTCTACCAATATTATTGTGTTTGAGTCTGTATTGTCTGACTTTAATGTAGCCACTCCAATTTTTTATGGAATACTATTACAAAGCATCTCCAGACTTTTGCTTTTGATTCATCTTGTTATTAAAATGGGATCCCTAAATAGCATGTGGTTGAGTCTTCTTTATTTAACTGCATTTTACACTCTGTCTTTTTAAGAGTTTAGTTCAGGCTGGGTGGTGATTGTGCACGTCTTTAATCCCAGCTCTCCAGCAGCAGAGGCAGGCAGATCTCTGCGAGTTCGAGGCCAGCCTGGTCTACGAAAGTGAGTTCCAGGACAGGCTCCAAAACTATACAGAGAAACCCTGTCTCAAAAAAAAAAAAAAAAAAAAAAAACCAAAAAAAAACAAAAAAAAAGTTTAGTCCATTTACGGATATTGTAATTGTTTAATACTATCTTTTTGTTCCTTAATTTATGATCTTTTTATTCTTCATCTACAAGCCTTGTTTCTCTTTTTTGTTTTTTTTAGACAGGGTCTCACTATATATCCCTCACTGGCCTGGAACTCACAGAGATCTGCCTGCCTCAGCCTCCCTGGTGCTGGAATTAAAGGTGTGCATCACCATGCTTGGTTCTCTGTCTTCTTTAACTGCATAATTTCTGTTGCTCTAGCTTCATGTCCACTGCCTTTATTTTACCATCTCAACTTGTTGAACCAGCTAATGAGTTCTGGTTATTGTATGCTTTAGATCTAGATCTCATTTGGTTTCTTTTTCTGTATCCATTTCTGTTTTATAGTTTCCTGTTTCTTTCATTCTTTGGACATACTTCAAGTGGCTATAATATATTAGTGCATATATAATATTTGACTGCATTTCACAGTTACATATGCATACATGTTTATACACATAATAACTATAAGTACTTTGAGTTCTTTGTCAAATTAGAAAACCTATGTCCAGGTAAGAGTCAATTTTTTTGTTTGTTTGTTTGATTTTTAAGATAGGGTTTCTCTGTGTAACAACTCTGGCTGTCCTGGAACTCACTCTGTAGACCAGGCTGGCCTTGAACTTAGAGATCCTCCTGCCTCTGCCTCCCGAGTGCTGGGATTAAAGTCATGCACCACCACTGCCTGGCCAGTCAGTTTATTTTGATTTCCCGCCACTTCAAGAGTCATACTTTTTCTATGTTATCACGGTGATGGTTTTTAATTGAAAATTGCATGTGTGGGTAAGATGTACTAGCAACTCTGGAATGTCTTTTTCTAGAAACTGCTTTGTTCTTTGGTGTGAGCAAGTTTAACTTGCTGGAACTCAAGGCTGCAAACTACATGCCCCTGTGGTATGCAGCAACAGTTTATGGCTCATGTCTCCTCGGCCTTTCTGCTTTCTCAGTCCACTTCCCTGGGAGCTTTTCATGCCCCCCCCCATCTCTGTGGACTCACACAGACCTTCGTAGAACCCATTCAGATTTGGATGGTCTCTTCTGTTACTCCTTTTCACAGTGTCTGGTTGTTCTGCCATCAACACTTGTTTATTTTTAGAGACAGCATAGTGCTGTGTAAGCCTGGCTGTGCTAGAACTTCCTCTGTAGACCAGACTGGCTTTGAACTCAGAGGTCTACCTGCCTCTGCCAGCCTCCCAAGTGCTGGGATTAAAGGTGTTCGCTTATACTACCTGGCCTACTACCCACATTTTACCCACAGACACCAACACTAGTGAGACCTGTGCTTTTCAATTCCTTTACATAAATATACATGTGTTTCAAGGTGAAACAAACTTGGGAATTTCAGCAGAATTAGTTGTGTCTTTTTTGTTTGTTTGTTTGTTTGTTTTTTCCCTGAGACAGTTTTCTCTGTGGCTTTGAAGACTGTCCTGGAACTAGCTATTGTAGACCAGGCTGGTCTCGAACTCACAGAGATTCGCCTGCCTCTGCCTCCTGAGTGCTGGGATTAAAGGCATGCGCCACCAACGCCGTCACCAACGCCGCCGCCACTACCATCACCACCACCACCACCCAGCTAGTTGTGTCTTCTTAATCTGCTGCAATGTAGGATTAATTCCTGATACTGGTGAGAGGACTCCTACCTAGGACATTAGACAGTGGTGTTCGACAGAACATGAGTGTTGTTCTGTTTGTATTTGGTTAGTAGGCATGGTAAAGGTTTAGAGGCCTGCAAGATTGGGTATGTCAGTCGTGAATTGGGCAAAGGGTAGAAAATAGCAGATGTTGGTGGTTATTTGGGACAGGAAATGATGGAAAGTTAATGACAACAGCAGGAGTTGCCATAATCAGGAAGTATTAATCTCAATTATCAATCCTAGGACTCTACATCTTTTACCCCATTTTGGAGACAGAACTGAATGTGGCCTAGGCTGGCCATGGTCTCACTGTGTAGCCAGTGACGACCTTGCACTTCTGGCTTCCTACTGCCACCTCCCAAGTGCTGGCAGTTATGTGGTGCTGAGGACTGAACCCAGAGCTTCCTGCATGCTAGGCAAGCAGTCTGTCAGAGGAGCTCTGTGGCCAGTCCTACTCTCCACTTTTCAGCATACAAATGCAGCATTCCTTAATGGCTGCAAGCTATAAAAATGACACAGTCTTACTGTTTTGTTTTACTTTTCAAAGTGGGTGAAGAGCTGAATGTATTGAGTTTGCAGTGTAAACAGTCAGTGCTGCTGTTCTTTTTTAAAGCCAGGCATGGTGGCATAGGTGCACACCTTTAATCCCAGCACTCCAGAGAGAGAAGGTGGTGATTATCTGAGTTCGAGGCCAGCCTCGTCTACGGATCGAGTTCCAGGACAGCTAGAGTTACACAGAGAAACCCTGTCTTGAAAAACCAAACCAAAACAAACAAAATTATTTCTTTTTCTGGCTATTTAATATTTTATTTGGTATATATTACAGCAACATGGGGGGTTATTTAGATAGATCATTTCCGTAAAATGTACCAAGTTATAGACGGTGGTGTTGACTTCCTTAAGAAAAGGCTTTGAGCCTTTGAGTACTTTAAAGTAATTAAATGTAGATCCCATGTGAATCTTCTTTAGAGGTGATCTAAAGAAACACTTGTGTTGATAATAAGTGTTCCTTCTGGGTCCTTACCCGACACAGAATGTCCTCTCTGGTTTGCAGAGATGATTAAAGACCGTTGTACTTCTTCCACTTTCTAATTTGTACCCTCTCTCTTGTAGTCATCCTTTGGTGGATACCCCGCTAACCTTGTGATGTCTGTTTACAGATAGGAGAGAGAATCCGAGTCATCTTGGACATGGAAGATAAGACTTTAGCTTTTGAGCGTGGGTATGAGTTCCTGGGGGTTGCCTTTCGAGGACTTCCAAAGGCCTGCTTATACCCAGCAGTGTCTGCTGTATATGGCAACACAGAAGTGACTTTGGTTTATCTTGGAAAACCTTTGGATGGATGACAGTGGCTTTCTGGGAAGAAGGACAGTGGAGAAGAGATCTACTTTGGAAAGTAGAGCCATGAAGTGATAGTATCATGTGTGCATGCCCAAGGAACATCCTGAAAACACGTGGAGTTGAGAACTGGAGAAGAAACTGTACAACAGCGATCATCTTAGTGTTTCCTCTTTCCACTGGGCCAGAAAAATCCTCAGGGTTGCAGTTGGTTGAGTGGGCAGTTGACATGTGCATGTTGCCGCAGATTCTTCTCTACATTAGCAGTGTGTTACTCCAGCTCAAAGATGAGGTGTAGAGATGCTTAGAAGGGAGCCGCAGGATTTTGGGTAGTTTTCTGAAGAAGGTACAGTCCCATCTTACAACTGCCTGTTCTTCCTCCAGTCCCTTTACTTCTAGCCAGCTTGACTTAGAAAGTATGAAACTGGCTGGGTTTTATTTAATATTTTTTAATATATTGAGAAGCATGGTCTGCCTGGACTGCACTTCTCTAGCAATGAGAAATAAAATTGTGCAGCTATTTTAAAAGTTGTATATATAATGTGTGTAAAAACTGTAAAGGAAAAAAAAAACCAAAAGGACAAAGGGATTGCTTTGTTCTAATTCAGTTTCTTAAAAATCACTACATGGTACAAAACTAGAGTGATATTTGGGGACAGTAGGGTAATACAAAGAAGAGGAGACATGTTGTACTAACTCATTTGTGTTTGGGCTTATAGTCCATGGCTGTAACAGAATTATGGTAAATGTTCCTCAGCAGGCTAATTTCCTCAGCTGGCTAAAGACTGGGGAAATTGAGCTACTTATAATTATGCATCTGCCAGCAAGGCTGATGCAGACGTAATAGGAATGTGAGTCTCTTGGCATTTGGCTTTAGTTTTTGGCCTTCTGAGAAAACTGGTCTCCACACAGAACAGTACCAACTGCTCTTACAGTACTCAGTATGAGCACTATTAGAATAAACCCTAGAACACATGGTCAACAGTTCTTTTATTTTCTAACTTTATAATGCTGTAGATGTTATGAAGAATTTTTAATTTCATATTGTTTACATTATACAACAATCAAAGCCTCTGAATCTCCACTGGGGCTGTCAACAAAATGTTTACTCACCCACTTGAAACAGCGCCAGCCAGAACCCCGTTAAGAGTGTTCTTGATCACCTAGGTATTGACCCATGGGATTTAATGCTAAAAACTTAGGCTGGCAACAATTGGAAAGTTTCATTGGAAAGGGTTAAACATGGTCTCCTATTTTGACCCATAAACCTTCTCGTTAATACTCTCTGAAATTAATAATTCAACACACATGAGCTGAGGGTTTTGTTTTTTTCTTTTGTTACAACAGTAACGTCTTTCTGTATGACAGTATAATTAATATGGTTCAGATACATAAGAATTGATGAAGGCAAGTAAAATCTTTGTACTTTTTACATGATTGCTGTATGTATATTTTGTTTTAAATCTAATAAAATTAGGGGCAGTGAGCAGCTTGCTGGGGTTCTTGGAGTCCTTGAGAATTAAACTTGTCCATACTGCTATGAAGCAGGAGGCTCCAACCATAGGACAGGTCTGTAGTTGCCTCCTGAAATGGTTACTGGTATTTACTGTGTATTTGCTATGTTGCTTGAAAAAGAGACATTTGTTAAAGATCTTTTTTACAATCTGTATCAAGAAGAAACCTTGTACAACATGGAATTATATGTTAAACATGTTAAGGAAGATAGCTGGCCCAGGAACTGATGTTTTGTTTGTTTTTGTTTTTGTTTCTGGTCTAGAATAACTCAATTTGGTGGTGTGTAAATTTGATTGGAGACCTGACTAGGATGAAGACTGACTAGGTAAAAGGTGATGGCAGTCCTTAAGTATCTTCAGGTTGTGACAAGTCCTCCAGCTTCTCATGAGTTTGGTTTATAATTTTGTTTCTGTCTTGTCATAAATGTTCATTTGCAACACAGTTCTGATGGTGCTGACTGGAAAAGAAAATCACATGGTTATTCATTCCTCACTGAACCTAAAATCAGAGAATTGCCTAATGGTTTAACACCAAGCCAGTCTTTCTGTGTTTTGTTTCTGATTTTTTTAAGACGGTTCTTGCTGTGTAGCTTAAGCTATCCTGGAACTCACAGTGGTCTTCCCTGCCCAGCCTCCCCAATACTGGGAATACAACTATATGCCCCATTCCCAGAACAACAAGCCATTCTTAGCTCAAAGAGTTGAGTGTTCCTAGATTGGATGAGCATCAGGTGAGCAGAGAGCCTTCGTTTACAGCTGGGTCTGTTTGTTACTAGAGACGAGCAGTGGCTGTCCAGATCATCAAGGCAAACTGCTCAGTGCTGAACGCGGTGCTTAGAAAGCATGTAACAGAAAACAGTTGTACCCGAAGGCCGAGTATATCACCTACATCATTAAATCATTGCCACTCCAGCTCGACTGGAGTTTGGAGAAATATAAAGAAATACTTAAGGTTGGGCCCTCTAACCCTGATTCTGGTGTTGGTGGGATATGTTCTGACCATAAGGGCTTAAAAATGTCCTGCTGGTTTCAGAATGCTGCCCAAGGTTGAGAGCAGATATGCTGAATTTCACCTAGGGTTTTCTCATCTACACATTAGGAAATCCTTGTTCTCCTCACTACCTCACAAGGATACAGAGGGTACAAGAGAAAACACCCAGAGTGCTGGTGTTGTGGGTGAGAAGGCTGCCGAAAGGCGAGCATCTGTTCTATTTCACCTGCAGCTGTGATCAGGAAGACATGTAATTGAATTTGTTGTTGCTGTGGGGAGCTTTTGTGTGTTTGTTTGAGGAAGCATGCATGGGTGGAACAAACCTTAATTACTATGACTATTCACTATGGTCCTCTGCCTACTTGAGATAGGCTGTTATAATTATCTGGTTTTTCATAGGAAAGAAGAAATATTAAGGCTTAATTCTGTAATGTTCATTGGCTCATAATTCATTAAAAACTCATACAAGGAATTCTGTGTTATTAGATGTCATTTCATAGTTGCCATTATTTTTTTTTCATTGATGACTTTTGAGTGTCAAGCCGTCTTCATCTCTCATTTTTACTCAAATAAGCTTAAATACAGATTTGACAGACCTGAAGCAAGTTTGCCTGGTGCAGCTGAGCATCTGCAATGGCTCTCTGCTGAAGAACCGCCTGTCTCTTGGGCCTGATTTGTCTGGGAAGCTTGAAAAACAGCGTAGAAATTATAGCTAACCTCATCATTTTTGAATCTTTTAACCATTTTAAGAAATGAACAGTTTGATGAGACAAATTAAGGAATTTTTTAAAGTGAAGTGTTGAAAAGATTCTATAAGTCAAGACTACCACGGCTGGGATTGTTGGAACAGTTTGTGTCCAACCCAAATGGTACCCTCATAGCATTTTACATTTTCCTCACTCTCCCCTCAACAGAGTCTCTACTTCCCTGCAATTTCCTAGTTTTATTTTTTAATACATACTTGACTCAAGCTGTGTGGCTTTACAGCCTGCTTATAGTGTCTAGCTCCCCTGCATGAACACAGTATCTCAGATGTACTCCTTGCCTTTGTGCCCAGTCTCTAAGCCAGGTAAGCAGGGGCTCACATATTTTCTGTGAAAAAGAAGAATTTGGAAGAAAGACCAAAGCATTTCTAAATATACAGACCAAAGTATAAGCAAAGACAGATGAGAGAAACTTTATCGTAGTCCAGGTGGAGCAGGAAGGTACAGGACGCAAATCTGAGTGATTGAAGCAATGCTTTTTTTTTTTTTTGGCCACTCCTCTTTATTCAGAAATACTGGTAATGACTTTCTAGTTCTTAGTGTAGATTTCATATTTGTTCAGAATAGAAAATAGAATATTAGGCTTTAATTTAGGGTGCAGGGATAGTTGTTTTGTCTTAGCTTCCTAATGGAAAGTTAAAACTAGGGCTGTCAAGATGGCTTAGCAGATAAAGGCATTTGCCACTAAACCCCATGGCCTGTGTTTGATCTCTGTGGCCATGAAATTGGAAGGAAAGAGCTAATTCCTGACAGTTACCCTTCACATGCAGGCTGTGGCACATAAGTACATGCATGTGTGCTGACAAAATGTAAAGATAATGTTTTCTTAAAAGCTAATGTCTGCATATAGCCCAGTGGTAGAATGCTTGCCTAGCATGCACAAGGTTCTGTAAGTAAATAACAAAATGGTAGCCTCCAAAGTTTAATTCTAAGTGTATTATAATGGGAGTAGGCTAGGTATCTTCATTTTAACATGGCTGACTTGCTTTCTTTCCCAATCTGTATTTAAAGAGGTTTTGTTTTCTGCGCTCTTTTGTTGGTATGTGTTCACTGTAAGAATGATGGGTTTTGTTAGGCTGTTTTCATCTGTATTCCATGCACTTTGGTCACACCCTTCTCATTACCTCTGTCCTCCCTCCAGCTTCTTTGATGTCATATGTGTGTGCATTTAAGTCTAGACTCTGCATATGATGGGAAATGCAGCCTTTGAGTCACTGTTTTTGTTTTTTGAAATAGGAACTCACTAGGGAGTGGAGAAGGCTGGTCTTGAAATTGTATCAGTTATTCTGCCTGTATCTCAGGGTACTGGGATTACTTTACTTTGGAAGGAAAGAGGACTTTAAGATTGGAATGAAAGCCAGGCGGTGGTGGTAGTGATGCAAGCCTCTAATCCCATATTTGGAAGACAGAGGCAGGTGGAGTTTGAGCCCAGTCTGTTATGCAGAGTGTGTTCTAGGACAGCCAGAGCTGCCAGAGCTGTTACACAGAAACCCAACAACTCAAAACACAGAAACTCAAAACAAAAATTGGAATGAAAATTGTCAGTGACAGTCCTCTTCAGAAGCTAAAAGGTGATAGTCATTTCTAGTCAAGATTCCCAGAGTGGTGAAAGTGCGCACACAGGATCACTCACTGAAAGGTGACAGGCTGGCTGTACGAAGTGTTCTGAAGCAGCCGAATGACACCCACCCTTTCCAGCACAAACTCTAGCCAACTTAGATGCTATGCCGTCATTCCATGGAAGTGGGCCACACTTTTTATGTGTTTTACATGGCTGTAGTTAAGCTGCAGCTTCTGAAACATCTCCCCAACCACCCTGCTATTAGCCACCTACAGGAATTGAGAAAGAATGAAAAAAATCAAGAGTCAATTCAGAATTGATTAAGTATCTTGTAGCACCCACCACATGCAGGGCACTTGCCAGCTACTATGGATATAAATATAAAGATGTGAACAAAACTAGAAACAACACTGTTCTGCAGTTGCTCTTGAGTTAGATGGGAAGATGGCCACAGTGCCAAAGGAATCATTGCCTTAATGGACTTAAGCATGGGGTCCCCTGTGGTAGAAGAGAATGGATGCTCTAAACCTGGACTGACGTCTAAGTAGAGTCTCAGGAGATGAGAGTATATAGATCACTGTTATAGATGGCAGTCTGCTGTGATATGAGGTGTAAGTAGTATCTGGCAACTGTTTGCTGGAGAAGTGAGAGTATAGTTCCAGGATACTGAGGCCACTACATAGCTGTCAAACTAAGAGCTTTGGGTTTTTCCTGACTCGTAGGGACGCCACTCAAAAGTTTGCAGCAGGGTCACAGCATGATCCATGATAGAATCCAATGAGTATTCCACTTGCAAAAAGTAACAGGCGGTCAGGATAGCAAATGACTAAGGCTTAACCAAGGCAACTAAGAATATGAAGGAGAGATGTTTTGAGATATTCTGAGGGCATGGAGAGATGGCTCAGCAGGTAGTGTTTGCTGTGGAAGCTGGGCTTGGTGGCACACACCTGTGCCACCAGTGCTGCAGAGGGGGCGTGTAATCCCTTGGGCTTGCTGGCCAGCCAGTTTAGCTGAATCAGTGTCATTCAGGTTCAGTAAGAGTCCCTGTCTCAGAAAAGGTGGAAAACAACTAAAGAGGAGAGGAGGTTTATCTCCCCTTACGGTATATAGTCCTGACTTGAAGAGTAAAAAGAAGCTAGGGCAGCAACATGGGGGCAGGAACTGAAGCTGAGGCCTTGGAAGAACTCTGCTTGCTGCCTTGCTCCATGTAAGCTGTTCAACCTGCTTTCTTATGTCATCCAGGACCACCTGTCCAGGGATGGCACCACCCACATCAATCATGTAAAATGTACTACAGGTACCTAGAGTCAAATCTTATGGAGGCATTTTCTCAACAGTGAATCTCTTTCCCCAATCCACTAGCTTATGTCAAGTTTGCAAAATCTAGCCAAGACAGTACGCATGAACATCTACCTATACACCTGCCCCTCCACGCCTCCCCCCCAAGAAAAAGAATAGGAAGGTCAGTTGACTATACAGGAAGAACAAAACATTGTTGCTGTGATCAGCTGAGAATAGGGCTGGTCCCTCATTAAGATAGGAAGCTGAGGGCTGGAGCGATGGCTCAGAGGTTAAGAGCACTGACTGCTCTTCCAGAGGTCCTGAGTTCAATTCCCAGCAACCACATGGTGGCTCACAACCATCCATTATAAGATCTGGTGCCCTCTTCTGGTGTGCAGATACACATGGAAGCAGAATGTTGTATACATAATAAATAAATAAAAATATTTTTAAAAAGATAGGGAGCTGAAAAGGAGGAATTGGCTAGGTGGTAGTGATCTCAGTTTCAAACACGTCTGGAGTAAAACTGTTCAAAGGCAGTTGGAACTAATTTGTAGTTGAGGCAGACAGTGAATGATGTCCAATAAAGGAGCTCCTGCTGGGGTCAGTGAGATGGCTCAGTAGGTAAGAGCTCTTGGCATCAAGACTGAGGACTTGAGTTTGATCCCCAGAATCCATATGATGGGAGGAGAGAACTGACTCATTTAAAATATGGAACACTTCATGAATTTGCGTGTCATCCTTGCACAGGGGGTCATGCTAATCTCTGTATTGTTCAATTGTAGTATATGTGCTGCCGAAGTGAGCATGAGAACTGACTCTTACAAGATCTCCTCTGACCTCCACGTGTTCACTATGGCATGAACATGGATACATATACACACTAAGTAAATGTAAAAGGGCAGGCTGTGTAGGCACATGCCTTTAGTCTCAGCACTCAGGAGGCAGAGGCAGGAGGATCTCTGAGTCCCAGCCTGGCCACAGCTATATAGTGAGACCCTGATTCAAAAAAGAAGAAGGTTTTAAACAGCTGTTGCTGTCTCGCTTTCCTCATTGGCTTTACTAGCTCTACAATCTAGAAGACCTGTGATCCAGCCCTTAGAGGTGGAGGCAGGAGAACCAGATTCATGGTTACCTTCAGCTACATAACAAGTGTGAGGTCAGCCTGGACAAGATCCATAGTCAGATCATCAAGTAAGTTTTGACACGTATATATTGATCACAGCTAAGATACTGTGTCTAGGAAGCCTTTTTACAAGAGGATGCCTGGGTAAATTCTGCAAAGTAAGAGAATGGAGTCAAACATTCATACTGATATAGTTAACAAGTTTCTAGGTAATTTGCCCTTGAACCAGAAGATCACCTTTCAGGATGAAAACAAAGCTAAGTCAAACTAGATGGACAAGATGACTCAACAGGTAAAGGGGTTATCCATCAAGCCCAAAACCTGAAACTTACTCTCCGCACCCATATGGTAGGAAGAGAACCAACTCCTGAAAACTGTCCTCTGACCCCCATGCTGTGGCACACCCACCGACATACACCTGTATTCCAAGTAAATCAGTAAAGTGTAATACATTAAATATAAATTGAAGTTAAATTCAGACCCATCCATTGCCAGACCCTGGACAATAACTCATTATTTATTGTTTGTTACTGTTAATGTCTGTATGCATGAGGTAGGGTGTGGCTGTGGTAGCCTTTCTTGGACCCACAAATCATGACAGAGACTTATTATTAATTATGAATGCTAGGCCTTAGCTTAGGCTTGTTTCTAATTAGCTGCGTTTTTTTTTTTAACTTAAATGAACCCATTTCTATGAATCATGTGTTCCCTGAGATTTGTTTACCTCACATACGTACCGTCCACCCTGCTTTCCTGCTTCTGTGTCTGGCTGGCCCCTGGTGTCTCTCTTTCTTCGACCTCGCTCAAGCCTAGATTCCTCCTACTACTTATTCATCTACTGCCTAGCTATTGGCTGTTCGGCTTTTTATTAGACCAATCAGGTGCCTTATGTAGGCAAGGTAAAACAGCAGCACATCTTTACATAGTCAGACAAATGCAGCCTTAACAAAAGCACCACATCTTTACATAGTTAAAGTGATACTCCACAACAGGTGGCATTTGTGCCATGTGCACAGGTTCGGGAGTTGGTTCTCTTTTTGCACTGTTACATGGGTTCTGGAGGGATCTCCATGCTCATGTGGAAACCCATTTGCCCACTAAACAGGTCCGTTTGTGCTTATTCTTTAATGGAATATTCTTTTTTAAATTTTCATACACGTACACATTTTTATCATGTCCACCCATTAGTCCCCCCCTACAATTTCCCCTCAAAGTCTCCCCAGTACATTCCTCCCCCCAACTCCATGTCCTCTGGTGTCTTGTATTGTTAAGATGGTCTGTGGAGCCCTAGCTGTCCTGGAAACTCACAATGTATACAGGCTGGCCACGAACTCACAGAGATCCTCCTGCCTCTGCCTCCTGAGTGCTGGGATGAAAGGTGTGTCGCCACCCAACTACTGCTGCTTCTGCTTCCCCTTCTTCTTCTGCTTCCTCATTCTTCTCCCACGGAGTCCTGCCTGGACACGCACGGGCATGGGGCCCTCCACCAGAGCATGGTCAACTTTCGAGTGACCACACCCCAAGTTTTAAAAATGACTCTTCCTCCCACACAAGCCGTCAGTGAGCCCTTCTCCCATCTGTGCTGACTTGATTCTGGGCAGGTGCCACATCTGCTGTGAGTTCATGAGTGCAGCAGCCATGTTCTGTTCCATGACAGCATTTCACAGTACCCCCCCACCCTCCAACCTATAGTATTTCTTCTTTTCTTTTCTAATTTTTGTTTATTTTTATGTGTATGGGTATTTTGTCTGTAGGTATATCTGTGCATTGTTTGTGTTCCCAGTTCCTACAAAATGCCAGAAGAGGGCAATGTATCCCCTGGGACTGGAGTTGCAGACAGTTGTGAGCTGCAGTATGGGTGCTGGGAATTGAACTCAGAACTGGAAAAGTAAACGGTGCTCTTGACCAATGGGCTATCTCCAGCCTCTTTCTGCCCCTCTCCTGCAGAGTTCCTTTTGCCTTAGGCTGGGTTGGAGGCTGATACAGCACTCACAGGCACTTTATTCTCAACACTTTGATCAGTTACAAGTGCACATGTGCTTTTCCCCGGACACCCACATGGTAGAAAAAGAGAACCAACTCCTACAAGTTGTCCCCTGACCTCTGCAGGATCCCTACTGACTCAGATCACATACACACAGACAAATAAATAAATGCAATACTTTTTCTTAGAAAGAAAAAGCTGGGGCCGGGCGTTCATGGTGCACGCCTTTAATCCCAGCACTCGGGAGGCAGAGGCAGGCGGATCTCTGTGAGTTTGAGGCCAGCCTGGTCTCTAGAGTGATTGCCAGGAGAGGCTCCAAAGCTACACAGAAACCCTGTCTCGAAAGAAAGAAAGAAAGAAAGAAAGAAAGAAAGAAAGAAAGAAAGAAAGAAAGAAAGAAAAAGAAAAAGAAAAGGCTGGGGCTGGAGAGATGACTCAGTGGTTGGTTGAGAGCACTGGTTGCTCTTCCAGAAAACCCAATTTCCAGCCCCCACATGGCAGCCCCCACATGGCAGCTCACAACTGTCTGTACCTCCTGTTCCAAGGGATCTGGCATTCTCACACAGACACACATGCAAGCAAAACACCAATGTATATACAAAAAATATAAATTATTAGAAAAAGTAAAAGACTTGCAGTGTGGTGGTGGCAAACACCTTTAATGCTAGCATTTGGGAGGTAGAGGCAGGTGGATCTCTGAGTTCAAGGCTAAAAGTGAGTTCCAGGATAGCCAGAAACCCTGTCTTGAAAAACCAAAAAGAAAAAAAGGAAGAAATAAAAAGAAACCTTGTCTACTGTGAGCATGTGGCTGACAGAGTATACACAAGTAGCCACAGAATTTCATGTAGTCTGCCGTCTTTTAGATGTCAGTATTTCCTCTACATAGCCCTGACTGTCCTGGAACTCACAGAGATCTGCCTGCCTCTGCCTCCCAACTGCTGGGATTAATGCCAACTGCTGGGATTAATGGCATGTGCCACCTCGATTAGCCTACATGTCAGTATTCTTATCTGGATTCTTTTCAGAGACCATATAGTTAGTCCTCCTTGAAGTGGGTGGCAAGAAAATTTGGTTGCTAAGCCAAAGCTAAGAAGCCATAGCTGTTGTTGGTCATATCTGAGAAGCAAGCTTTTACTTGTTTGACAAAAGAGGATTTAATTATTGAAAACTGCTATAGGAAAGAAATAAACATAATGGTATGGGTTGAATCGTGTCATATGTTAACATTTTTAGATATTTCATTTTGTGTGTGTATATGTATTGTTGTGTGTGTCTGTCTGTCTGTGTACCACGTGTGTGCAGGAGCCCACAGAGGTCAGAAGAGAGCATTAGTTCCCCTAGAAGTATTATCATAGGTGAATTGTCTTGTGGAAACCTCTCCAAGAACAGCAAGTAGTCTCAACTGCTGAGCTGTCTCTCCAGCCCATAGGTTCAATTTTTTGTTGTCTTTTCGAGACAGGGTTTCTTTGTGTCATCCTGGCTGTCCTGGAACTCACTCTGTAGACCAGGCTGGCCTTGAACTCAAAGACCATATGCCAACTTCTTAACCCTTGGGTACTCCCGAATGTGTCCTTTTAACAACAGGGTCATTTCTGATGCAAGTTTAGATGAGGCCATACTAGGGTAGAAGGGGTCCTAGTCTACTGTGGCTAATGAAAGCGTTACAGCTCACATGGGAAGGTCAGGAGCCAAAGAATAAATACCACAAAGTCTCACTGTACAACAAATCTCACACAAGAGATTTATCAGGAGGGACAAATACCCCTAGGATCTGACAAATACACTCCCTTGTCATGAGACACCCCGGGAGGTCCTTTTTCCTTTTTTATGACCGGGCGTGCCCCACCTCTCACTAAGTTCGGTTTCTGACATGTAATTCTGGACTTCTTCAAGATTGCTACAACAGTGAAAAAGATCAAGATGGCTCCGAGTAAAAGCACAAAAGCCTCTACACTAACCTCCCAAGATGGCAACAATCCCAAGCCAAAGTCCAGAAAAGACATGCCTCTCCGAATCCTACCTCCCTGCAGTTCTGAATCCTCCTTGTTGCCAAGGGGTCTCCAATGGTGCTGACGATGATGAGGTAAATTTCCCGGGTTTCGGCACCAGATGTCCCGCGCTAACTGCCTCACCAGCAAAAACGACACGGGGACACTCCTCAGGATCCTTCTGCAGTAAAGCTTTAATGCCTCTTGAGAGGAAGAGCATCAGCTTACAGAGCGGAGACTCTGAACACCCAAAAAACCCCTCCTTATATAGCCTGGCAATCATCGCCTCAGACTGTTACTTTTTGACTGGCTGAAGCCCGTCGGACCATATGACGTCAGCTGATCGGACCATATGACGTCACGGGAGGGGCAGAGACAAAGGGCTGGAACGTTACAAAGTTACCTATTGCGCATGCGCACAGCTTGTAACGGCTCCTAACAGGAATGACTCCATAAAGAAGGGTTTTGTGCATTACCAAACCACCATGTGTCCACACAGCCACCAGCCACAAAATGACCACATACATAATGGTGGCCCCAAAGACTATAGGAGAGTTGACACACTTCACTAGAATTTTTACTGTACTAAGTTTAGATACATTTAGATACACGGATGTTTACCGTTGCACTCCATCATACAACCACACTACCATCTCTCTCTTCTTCCCCTGACTGCCATTCAGGTTGTTCCAAGTTTTCATTATTATAAAC